ATTTTTTGTGATTCCCAAGTTATAATAATAAGAGTTATCAGAAGAAAGCCATATATAATTAATGCACCAATATTTACATTGATAAAATTAATAAGTAATGAAAAGAATGAGATGATTAAATAAATAAAATGATGATTTATTTATTTATTTTTCTTTAGATTGTTGATGGAATAACAGGTACAAAATTACCTTGTAATAACCAATTAATTAGCCTTCAATCAAAAACAAACACACACACATATGCATATATATTGCTGCTATTATTACTATATTGATATTATTATTATAATTATTATTTATAGTTTGACAAGTGGAACATCATATAAATGATATAATGAATGACCAGTTATTTTGTTAAAGAGGAGAGACTCTCATTGGATCTCTTTGAGATATTGGGAGATTGACTGGTGTTGATGATTGGTGTAGGTGTAGGTATGTAAGTTTTTGAGAAGGCGGTAAAGTGGAATGAGAAAGCTGGGAACATTCTGGATGTATCATCAACATCATTTATGTAATTATAGCGATATTTTCAAAAGGTCTAATTTTTCATCCTTGGAAAATATCTAACAACTTTCTAAGTCCCAACTATAAACTTTTAAATGATTTGACAAATTTATTGAATAAATCAGATTGTTATGATGTAGAAATTAAATATGGAGTGGTGGATGGCCAGGATAATGTCAAAATTTTAAAGCTCATTTCAAAATTTTAAAATGACAAAATTGTAGAGTCCCCAGTTCACATCACTAATTATTTTTATGATTATGAAGTTTATGAAACTGAAAGTTGTTTATAAATTGGAAAATAGAGTTGATTATTTAGAACAAGAATATTATAATCTTAATGTTACTAACAGTCCTACAACCATTTAGAAATAATATAAATATTATTGAAGATGGTAATAATTCCCGGTTATTGTCGATCCATCAGAATCAACTTACTGTGGCGGTCACGGGAATCGACAAATTTATAATCTTGTAGAAAAGTTTCTCATCCCATAGGAAAAATAATTAGGCGCTTCTTTTTTTTGAAATTTGTTTAAAACTTTTAAATATATATCTTTTTAAAAGGTGTTTAGACGCAATAACCATTTTTTTTAAAGAAGTAATATATTTGTTTTATATATTTTCAAAATTACTATTAAAATGATCGGCATAATAAAAAACAATTATCATTCATTACATATATACATATAATTTTCTTTTTATCAAGTATATCTTTGTCAAGTACAACTTTCGGGATTATGGTAGAAAATGGATTTGTGAATGTGAGCATTGAATTATTTTTCTACCAAAAATTTATTACTTTTATTAACTAAAAAGAAAAAGAAATATAAATGCGTGTAAAAACATATTAAAATTATCAAAAGAAATAAACTAAAATAATTATGAAAAAACAATACTATTCTATTTTTTGTAATTCAATTTTTTCACCAAATTCAGTATCAACTAATCTAGATTTTAAATATTTATTAGTAATAGATGACGATGATAATTTATTTAGATAATATTTATTTTCTATTGGAACAAGATTTGGCCAATTTACAAATTCAGCTCCATTATCCAGTATAAATCTGATAAGTCCAACAAT